CTGTCATGAGTGGATTTAAATATAACGGTCCTATGTGCAGCAAAGCGGGAAAAATAGTTATTGGAGAGAAGGTCGGTCCCTTGTAAATTTTTCCAGGTTCGATGACGACTGTCTTCATCTTCCCCATTTGCTTTCTTTTTTTTTGCCGTTTGTATTACTCAGCAACAGTACTTTGCCAGATATCCACTTCTATATTGGTTGTTGACCTTCTTTATTCATTTTGTACACTCGTACTCTCTGTGGTAGAAACTGTATAATCGTGATTTAGATTATTTCAGATTCCTGTCACTATTTTGTTTTTCACTACTTGAACTTTCATTGTAATCAGGATATACACAAAGATTACGTCAGGATGTATCTGTTCGCAGATGTTGTTTGTTTGCAATAACTGGAATCTTATGTGTCGAATGCAGTGCAGCCAAGTATATTGATTAGAATGTATCACGTCACTTTCAGCATATGCGTAGATGGTCGGGGGCGTGCGATTGCTAACCTGCGGTCGCTTGGCCGTAAGGGCCGTTTTCTCAGCTTCTGCCTTGGATATTGGTGCGTTTCTTTCCTTTAATTTTGGTAATCCGTGAATGTGGTGAAACAATTTCTAAAATGCATCGCGAGAATACCTACTGCGTATAACCGCTTTGGAGCGCGCAGCTACATATCCATCCCAATCGAAAGGACCATGTACAAGGTATCCTAAAAAATATGCCCACTGTTTGATCATAAACTATCTCTTGGGTTTTTCTGACCTTTAGATAGGTCACATTGTGAAGTTATCATTGGCTTAAGCACTGGCATGAGTATTGGCATGAAGATGTCTGAAAGCGCTAGAAGCTTTCGCTGCGTTGCTAGTTCAAATATTATAACTAAACTGCGTTTCACTGGTGTAAATCAACTCAAAATTGGGTAGTTGTATGCGATGCTGAATATGGAAATCCGTTGTAAATTTCTTTAAGTTCAGCAAGTAAAGTTACATACAAGCTTCGTAGTGATGTATTGTTGCTGAATTTGTAAGAAAAAGTCGATTAATAGGGCTATCTCCTCATTATAGATGTACCTGCAAAAGATTAATTTGTTTTCCATCTGTTGCCTATTGCTCCATCTTGATTATAACAGCATTGAAATGGCTTTGGCGTTTTTCTTAAGGGCTTTGCAGCATTTTCATCAAAGTTCGTTCTTGATTCCCCAGATTTTATTGAGAGTCCAGATCGTTTCTAATCCATTTTATTGTCTTTTTTTTGGAAACAGCCCATAGGTTTCATGATGTTCTATCGTAGAAGGCAAAAAAAGAGGCATAATGGGAGCCTTTTTTTTGAAGACCGTCGAACTTTGTGGAAATCATATTAGTTTCCGATAGCGATGATGGTAACAGCTTTGAATTATCGAAGTATCGCATTTATATGCTAGAAGGGAGTTTGCGAGTGGATTACTGAATGGCTTTCCAGGATTCTCTTTTTTGAGAAGATCATAAACTATTCAGAGGATGTTCAACTGCATGTGAAAAAACATTTTTGGCTCAAAATGACTTGATATTCAAAGTTCTACTTATGGAGCGCGATATCAGTGATATCTTATGAAAATTGGGAAGC